GAAATCCCTGCTGCCTGCCACTGCCCTGTGCTGCATGGAGGGCTCTGTCATGAGACCCCCATCTCCCACCTGCTCTCCGAGTCCCAGCTCTTTAAAAAAAAAAAAAAAAAAAAAAAAAAAAGTCCTGCACTCACCAGCTCCTGCCAGGCAACAGGGCAATCCCTGCTGCCCCCACTGCCCCATGCTGTGTGGGGGGCTCTGCGGCAAGCCCTCAGAAGCCCTGACAGTTGCTGCAGCAGCTGGTGAGTGGTGGCCTTTTTAAAGAAATGGAGCTGGACTGGGTGGGGCAGCCATGGAGGGGCTGGGGGAGCAGGCGGGGGCCAGGGGGCTGGTGGAGCAAGCAGGGGAAGGGGTCTGGCAGGGGTCCCCCCTGTTTCCCCCTCCCCCTTCCTCCAGTTCCCCCTTCCCCACCCCCTGCTTACCAGCACGGAGTCTGGGTCTAGCTCCCTGCGGCGGTGAGTGGGGACTGCCCAAATCTCCAAAGCTCTCTGAATCTTTTCCGAATCAATTTGGAGAGCTTTGAATCAATTCAGACCTTTTTATTGGTCTCCTGATTCGATTTGGATTTGGAGATTCGGCCTCCGAATTGGGCCGAATCTCCTCTGAATCAAATTGGCACCCAAAACTTTGCACAACCGTAATGCACACAGAATCCCTAGGGTGAGGCCCTGGCCTTGTGAATGCCAGTGAATGGTTTGAGAGAGGTAGTTAGCCATGTTAGTCTGAAGTCATGCAGAAGGCAGGGTAGATTTGCACCTTACAAACTAACTAAATCAGAGATGCATAGAATGACCTTTTGTAAGGTGTGGACTTACTTCATCACTGGGTGTTTTGCCATTCACTTCCACAGAACTAAGATTTCACCCCTCACAGGAAATTGCTGGATAGTGGTTTTGGTTTTAAAATAGAAACACTGAAACCTTCTGAATAGCTGACATGCCACCTAATGCTAATTTCTGTAACTTTCTGAATATTTGAATTTAATAGAGCAGTGAAAGATTTGGCAGCAGGGCCCTGTTTTTATACAGTTAGATGGATCTGTTCTATATTTTCCAAACAGTTGAATATTAAATTTTCCATACAGTTTATATTAAATTTACATCTGAGTCAAATCATAAAGCATAATGAAAGAAACAAACAGGTGGTGAGCACCCTGCTGGTTTTTAATTAGGAAGTGATGGGGAGATTTTAAATGGAGTTAATAATCTGTCTTCCTTTTTTTGGAATGTTCTGACGCAATATTTGGTCGCTGTGACAAGGGTATTGGACCATCTAACCTGCATCATACCTTTGATCTTCTAAGTGTCTTGGTTTGTCACTCCCTCTGGAGACCCTGACCCACGATGTAGAGTTCAGGGTGAGAAGAGGATCTGTTGGAGTCCTTGATCTCAGAGAAACATGGGCTGTTCCAAGAATCACCTGCCTTTCTAGTACTCTCCCCCATGCTGCAGACAGAAAAGATGCTTAAGATAAGAGGCTAATCAATCAAGACCTTTTTAAAATTCTAAGTAGAGCAAGTTAACCCATTATGAGGAAGTGTAGCAAGGCCTACTGAAAAACCTCCATCTTTTTTAAATGTTTATTACAGTGAGGTCAGTTTATTTTCCTGGTCTCTGAGTTGCAGTCCCCTATCGCCAAACCTCTCTTGGGAACCCACCACTTAAAGTATGGTAATATGTTATCAGCACAAAAAGTCTTTATAGTGTGTTTGAATATAAGGGTAGGCAAATGGATTCACTTGAAGTTAGAGATGGAATTTAACTGCAGAATTTGGATCCAGATCCAAAATCCCCAGGAAAAAGTGTTGCTGTAATAGCTCAGTACTCTTTTCCCTGTTTTACGTACTGGGAAAATGAGGCACAGAAAGGATAAACCAACAGTACCCAGGAGATCTGTGATGGAGCATAAACTTGATCAAGATCTCCTGTCTCAGGGCTTGTTTACACATGGAGTTAGTTATTCAGGAGACCATCTGGAAAAACTCTTCTGAATAACATCATGAAAGAGGGAACACTCGATTCCTAAATGAGAAGTTCCAGATGGACTTATTCAGTAAACTGTATTGCACTTTAAATTTGCACCCAGTGGGTGCATCTACACGAGACGTTAACTGAGGAGTTGCTAAAATAGCTCCATAGTAAACGTCTTGGTGTCTACACATGTGGTCTTATTAGGTGTCAGGAAACTAATAAACTCTGCAGCAGGTTAGTAGTTGCCAATACAAATACTAGCCAGCTGTGGATTTTTCATGCTCAGCAATGCATGTGTAGATGCTGATGGGGCTGGCTAGGGCATGAAGGTGCTTCAGTATGGCAGCTGCCTATTGGTTAGCCCCACGCTGCAGCACCCTCATGCCCCAGCCAGTCCCTCTGCAGCACATTGAGCCTTGTCAGAGCAGCCCCAGGCTGGCAGGCTAACCCGCAGGGCCCTCTGCCAGCCAGGGCTACTCCGACCTGGCTCAACATGCTGCGGTCCCAGGCACATGTTCAAACGACGTGCCTGGGAGAAATACTTTAGTGTGATATGTGCCGGAGTTTATTGTTACACATTAATAGCATTTGCAGATTCATCCAGTCTCAATCAGAAGGGACATCAAATGTGGACATATCCTTAAGCTACTGCTTTAACCATTAGACTACCCTTCTCTTAGTGCCAGATCAAGAGATTTAGACAAACACAGAGATGTAGGACCTCTCCTGAAGATCTAATTCTGATCCAGACTTCCCCAAGTCTGGAAGGGCTCAAGTTTTGCTTTAAGTCTGTGTCACTGATTCCAAGCTTCATGCTTCTCCTTAACTGAATGAAATCTGAGTAACATTTTAAGTTTCCTTCCATCCCAGCTCTACCCCTGGTGAAGGGGCTTAATCTGAGAGCAGTGCTATGAAGCAAACAGCATTTTTTTTCACTAAATACACACAAATCTTATTATAGATTAATAGGATTTGCACAAACAGAGAATCCATCCAAGTTCTGCCTTGCAAACATGTCATTAGTGTTGATGGTTATCCAATGGCCAGGCTAATACAGAGGAAGAATCTTAGTGCCCAAAGCCAGCCCAGATGGCAGCCAGTCGTGGGATGAAAACCGGAACAATAAAACAAGGGTCTTGATAGTGACAACAGCCGTGCTAAGCTCTTGTAGCAACAGTCTGGGATAGTGAGCTATTTAAAATCCTTTATCTTGATTTCCTGCAAATGATGAAATGGGATGCTATTTATACACTTAAAAAGGGGCCATTTCCTTGCTTTCTAGTGGACCATTCAGAGTGCAGGACTGGCAGAGGTGCATATTTACAGGGCCCAAAAGTGTTGGTTGGCAGAATGGGCTGGAAGCTTATTCTCTTCCTGGTCCAGTTGGGGGAGACTAGGCTGGCCAATGAAGTGGTGAGTCTTCAAAGGTCTAACCCCAGAGTCCCATCAGGTGGTTTGTACCTGGGATCATGAGTGGTCTCTTGCCTCAAGCAGTTTGTTTCTCAGTGTTAAAAAAATGGAAGAAGAGAGTCCCAGAATTCATGGAGATATCAGAAACGGACTACATCAGTGGTTTTTCCAGCTTCTTTGTGCCAGTTATTTCATTAGAGAGATCCTGTTGTAAATGTTTATCTACTTCCTGTGAAAATATCAGGCCTGATCCATATTGGTCCTGTAAGCAACCTCAGTTGGACTCGGGTTGAATTTCAGCATCTAAATTCCAAAAAGCAATTCAGAACCGTCTTGCTCCAGCACCTACAAACCACTAAAGTGCCTAAAATAATTTGGTGCCTACTTTGGGGTTTCCAGGATCCATTTGAACAGCTACCATGCTTAAGCCCCACTGTTAACCAGATTAGAGTTGAACTGGTACCTGAATCACCAGAGGGACCCAAAACTTGGTATGTCCCCAAGCACACCTAATTTGCCCGATCTGAACTGAGTTCAGTACAAAGTGCAGCAGCTACAGTCTCATTTATTCCCCTAATACCCTTTGCGTAGTAGTCTAGTGATGGGAGCAGGAGACCTGGGTTCTAGGTCCTCCTTAGCCCAAAGGAAATCCAAGCCACTTTGCCCACTAACAGGAGACCAAACCATCAATTTACAAGGACAATTTAAGATGGTGCATTCTTCCCTACTGCTGCTGAAACTAGGCCACCTGGCAGAAAAGTGAAATGCATACACAGTCCCAGGACTACAATCCAGATCTTTCCCCTCCCAAGGGAATGCCTTTGCCCCTGGCCTATGCTCTGTCTGGCTTATGCTTTTTCTCTCTGGCCCCGTGACTCTTGTATTCTTGTCTCAGTTTCAAGAGGAAGGCTTGAGAGTGCCTCCACCCAGCGCATTCCATAGCCTTTTAGTTAGGGCATGCTCCTGGGAAGTGGGAGATGCAGGTTTCAATCCCCTCAGGCCAAAGAGAGCCACTTCCTAGGCAAATGCTCTAATCATTAGGCTAGTGTGCAGAAGGGTGGGCAACAAGTAGTTAAGCATCCACTTTCAGAGGAGGCATGAGATGGCCTGGATCTTGAGTGAATGGAGATGTCTAATGTGTAGCCTGAGTCAGGCCTCTAAATTCTGGAGCGAGGCAGGAGTTCAGACACACCTCTATGCTTAGTGTTTAGCTCTAGGGACAGATGAGCTCTTGAATCATGTTTTGGAATGTGATCCTGCCCATCCAGATTGTCCTCCTGGAACTAGCTGTCAATATTTAGGCATTGCTATGCCTAAATTGAGGTGCCAAGCTGATCAGGCCGGACCCAGCCTGCTGTGTGCACACGGAAATGTCTAACTCAACAATTATCTTAGGAGCCTGTATAACTCCTGAGAAATAATTAGTTTCCTGAGGTCAGCATGTTCAGCATCTTGAAACGGAGGGTGGTATACTGGAGAAGGGGGAGTTCCTAGTTATTGAGGCTTAGTGGTTCAGGCCCTTTGCTTCCGGTGTCTCT